TATTTCCACAGCTCATAAGTAATAAGGCTACTGGCAGCAAGGCTGCATCATAACCTAATTTCTGGGGGAGATTTTATTTGATTTTTTGTTTGTTTTCCATAGCAAAACAAAGTTTGAATGCCATTTAAAAAAAAAAAAATCACTGAATTGGAAAGACCGTGGTCTCCAAGTTTAAGTGTAGCATTTGCTATATATTTCTATTTACCCCATTGTATGTTTGTGCTCCCCCTCCATCCAATCTGAGGGTGGGAAGTCAAGATAACAGTTATCCTTGCATGATTTTCCTCCCCACCACTTCCTTTACTCTTTTCAAATGTGTTACAGCAGAACATTCTTTAAGGAGAACATGCTCTGCCTTTCCCCAAACTGACTAGGAAGAAGGACTGTTCACCGCTGTCTCCTGTGCGGAAGACAAAATATCATCAGTGACTCTGTTCTCTTCCTTCCCCATACTATGCTTTCCGGTTGCCCCACATCATCCTACTCCCCACATCACACCTCTCCTAACCTCGGAAGGTCTAAAGCCAGCTGGGGTGGGTGCTGTTGGCTGGTCCTTCCCTCAAAACAGTGGAGCTTAAGTAGCAAAGAAGGTGCATTTTTAAAAGGTGAAATTAAAAAGTGAAACCATGTACATTATTACCTTTAAATACTTTATAAATCTACCCACCCCACCACCCCCCGACATTCCTCCTTTCTCTCAAACACATGGGAAGCCTCCTGAAAGCAATACTTTGCTCAATAACAACGGTTCTCAAATTCTCTGCGTTGGAATCACCTGGACGACTTGCTGCCGCACAGATTGCTGGGCCCTGTGCCCAGACTCATTCAGCAGCTTTGGGATAAGACCTTCGAATGTACATTTGTCACAAGTTCCCAGGTGATTCTGATGCGGCAGGTCCAAGGACCCACATTGGGAACCACTAGCCTAGACACAGCACAACTGCTAAAGAAAGAGAAAACACCCAGGAGATGCGAGTCTGACCAACATTACTCCCAGTTGTTGCCCAGCTCAGGAAGGGTCTAGTTCCCTATGTAAATGGAGGCCGCATAGTGCGGAGTAATACAGGAAGGTAGAGTTACAGCAGACCAGTTGCTTGAATTATTTCTCTTCTCTGCTGGCTCCTCAAGATACTCAGAGTTCAAGTATCAAGAAAAGGAAGGTGGAATTATGGACATAAATGTGATTGATCGTTTTTAGCCAGTCCAGATCTTTAGATTCCCTTTTGCATCTTGGCTGTCCTTCCATTTTCTCCTTAAACTGCCCATAGTGCTATGCAATGGGTACCGCAATCAGACAGACATGGGTTGAAGTCCTTGCTTGCTATGTGTCCTTCATCACTCTTTGCCTTCATTTTTCCCGTATAGAAAATGGAAATAACAATAGAACCTACCAACAGTGCTGCTGTGCAGATTGAATGTCACCCTGTGTATGCACTGACTGGTACATGCATGATAAATATTAGCTTTTACTAAGAATGTTACTATCTCTTGGCTTTCCTGTGAGAATATTCAATATGTTAAGTATCACACTACCTGTTTGATACAATAGGTTGGGTCATTAATTCAACCAATATTTATTGAGTGGCCATTGTGTGTCAGACATAGAATATTGTATAAGTATAATGAAATAATATTCTGTAAAGAAAAGTGTTTGATATAAACATATGTTGATTTGGAAATTTTTGACTTTACATGAACTCACATTTAAGAAAAATACTTGCTTCCAAAATTGGCTGAGGAAATTGAGAGGATGTGTTTACTAACCACGAGTTTTGTTTTGACAGACACTAAAATAAAAGAATGGAGGAAAACGGGAAAGTAATTCTGCAGATACAGTGGCCTTATATTATTAAAGGTATATTTTAGACCATCCAAAATACCACAAGCCCACTTTTCCCAAAAATCATTATATTTACGTGACAAGACAACAGGGAACAAATTTGGCCAAGGGTATCCTATTTTCAGTTCACAATGATGTCATTTTGAACCTATCACATCAGTCAGAAATGTAATGATCAGCTAGTAACAGAAGCAGTTTTCAATCTTTCAGTTCTTCCTAGTTTCCTGAGCAGAAGCTGAGAATTCACCCTTCTACCAGCTGACCACCCAAATTTATCAGGTCTCATTGTTTGGAAATATAAAGTGAAAATGTTAATGCAATATATGTTGAAATTTCTTGATTTTATCCTCAGTAGTACCTTTGCTCCTTCCTCCTCCCAGAATCTCCCTTCCTCAAGAAAGGTGTCAGAACCCCAAAACTTTAGGAGCTGGGTGGGAAGTTTCATTGGCTTCTAATTCTGCCATGAAACACTAGGCCTATGAAATCTTGAGTACCCTACGCAAGACCAAGTGCTTTGAGGACAATGAGCACAGGCGTTTTCCATTCTGGTCCCTTACACTTTTCCCTACACCCCTAGCCTCCATATATTACTTAAAAAGAACTTCTGCAAGAATTCATTGTCACACTTAATGGAGAAAGACCCTGAGCCTCAACGCTTGCCTCCCAATGCCTGTTAACAGGGATTGCTGCTGGTGATGAAAATACTGTTAACTTTTGTGGCACTAGCAGGTGTCAGAGAGTGGAGGAAGTTATGAGACTCCACAATATAGAACTTACGAAAAGAAAAGGTTGGATTCCCTAATAAAGGGTATATTGCCCCAAATCCTCTATGAAACCAAATGCTATGGAAATCTACTTGGGCAAACTTTTCCTCTAATCTATAGCTCCCCAAAGTTTATAAAGAAATAAAAGTGTAACTTTTAAAATATGAGGTCTTGTACAAGATAAAGAACATTATTTTATCCACGTCTACATTTCCAAATTCCCTAACACGTTTGTAACTTTGCTGATGTGGTTTTGTTTTTTTGTTTTGTTTTGTTTGTTTGTTTTGGGTTTTCTTTTCTTTTCTCTATTCTCCAGACGGTCTGCTATCTAGACCTGTGGCTTCTGCCACGAAGCGACATTTGGGGTAACTGTGGCAGCCTTCAGCTGGCCCGGGTCATTTGGCCCATTTTCCTTCCAGCACTTCAGTGGCTCTGCTTCCCCACACTCGCTCTCATCGTGCAGATGCTCAGGCTTATCACTTCGAATGCTTGCAAGAAGCTGGAGCTCTCCCAGCCTTCACCCCCGCACGACCTCTTCTGGCCACAGACTTCTGAGGGATCTGCATCCTCCCTTGGCTCGAACGCGCAGGCCAGCATCGTCCTTGCGACCTGGGCTTGCGCTCGCCCAGCCCTGGCACCCCTGGCTCCCGTAGCCGAAACGAGGGAGCTGCGGGGTCACGCCTTCTTGCTGGAAGGGCTTTTTCCCTCCCGTCACAACCCCTTCCTTACTTCTGCTAAAGATAGGCGTCCTCTCCTAATAAACCACACACACACAAGTTTTGACTTGAGCTTGAGACGCACACAGCGCCGAGGATCCTCGGGTTACTGGAGGCGACATTGCTGGCCAGGCTGACCCGCGCCTTCTGGCAGCCCCAAACCCCTAGATGCAGCCCGTTCCCCGCGCCAGGCTAGCTGCGGGCGACGGGGTGGGCAGCGGCGGCCAAGGGACAAGCCAGCCCGGGGACAGCACGGAGCCAACAGGGCTGGCGGGCAGGATCCGCGGGACAGAATTCTCAGAGGGGACCGTGGGGAGGGGCTAAACCCACCCGCACTCCCCGGCGCGCGGGACGGGACGGAACTGTGGTCACTAACAATGCCACGGAGCGGACTGTCCCTTTCCTTCGCCACTCCCCGCGCCGCCAAGCCTGAAGATACACACTCCCGCACACCCTACACACCCATCCACTCCGCCCCAGCCGGGGCGGGGGTGCGGGGGTGGGACGGGCGGAAGGTGAGCGGTGCCCTGCCCCGGGGTACCTGTAGGCAGTGCAACCCAGCTGCGCCACCGCCTGGGTGAGGCCAGCCGGACGCGCGGGAGGAAAAAGGCGCTCCAGACCGCGGCACAGATGCTCGCGGGTTTCGCACCTGGAGAGCCCCGAGGCGGCGGCGGCCGCGCGCGCGGTGGCAGCGCGAGAAGTCCCTGGCGCGCCCCTCTCCCGGGCGCACAACTTTGCGCAGTAGGCGCCGCCCTAGAGCCTGGCCAGCTTCCTTACCCAAATACTGCCGCAGGTCGAGCAGGAAGCGAGGGGGTCCCCCGCTGAGCTGATAGAGGAGGGAGCCCAGGCAGAAGACCAGCAGGGTGGCCATGCAGAAGCCGTAGTCCCGGAGGGAGAAGCGCAGGAAAGGCAGCAGGGGCAGCCGGCGCTTCCAGCTGCCCAGGCCCGGAGGGGCGCCCCCCAAAGGGGCCCCATGGGGCCAGGGATCCGCGCCGCCGCCGGGATGCTGCTGCTTCTTCTTCATCGCCTGCTCCGCCGCCTCGCACAGCCTGCTCGTGCCAGGAAAAGGTCACCCATCCGCCGCGAGGAGGAGAGCCCGGCTGGCCGGCTGCACATGGGGAGGGCCGCGCGGAGGGCAGCGGGTGGGGGCGGGGAGGGGCCGAAGTTGCCGGGCTCAGGAGACTTTCCTCGGCATGGTCCCCGCCGCCGCGGCCCGAGCAGCCGAGGTGTCCGGCCCCGGTTCGGGGCGCTGCCCGTGCCGGGGCGCCGCGCCCGTCCCGCGCCCGCTAGCGTCCCCACGCCCCGCGCCCTGCAGCGCCTCGGGCTCGCTTGCGGCCGCCGGGGCTCGCCTCCAGCGCCAGCGTGGACCCCCCGGCTTTGTGTCTGTAGGTCTCAGCGTGTTTTGTCCCGGTTCAGGCTTCTCTAAAAAACGGCAGGGAGGAACAGGAGGCGGACACCATCCCCTCGCTCCACCTCCTTGACAAGGGTTTTCCTCCTTCTCCTCCCCTTTCTCCCTCCGGCGCTCCGCGGCTCTCTCCTCCCTTTCCCCTCCCTCTCCGCTCGGGTCTCGGGATTTCGCTCGGGTGTCACGTTACTGCTTCTGCTGGGGGCGGAGGTGGGGGGGCGGCGATTATTCGCAACAAGGAAGAAACTTTCTGGGTTTTTTGTTTTTTTTTTTTCCTTCCCCTGTTCTTTACAATCTGGCCGCGGTTTCTGCGCCACCAGCGACCTCTTCGGGGCCCCGCTGACTTCCCTCTCGTAAACAGTCACCGGCAGGAAGAAGCACGACTGACTTTACGTTTTTTGAAGTTCAGAAACTTGATTCTCCTTATATATCCCGTGCAAGCTGCTTACACAAGGCCGGCAAAAGGTACTAGGATACAGGCTCAAGACTGCTGAGATGGGAAAAGAGTAAGCGGTGCGAGTTATGTTCAAACACGCCCCAGAGGGCCAGGCTCAGCGCCCAGACTCCCGGGAAGGGGAGCAGAAGAGGACGCTCTCTTCTTGCTTTTCCTGGTCCTACAACTACTTCACCTCTCAGTGACCAGAGAGGCAAGTGGGGGGTGCATAGTGGACTCTAGGAGGTCATTGCCCTGGTAGACATGAAGGGGAAAGAGCCCAGTCCTCCTATACGCCGATTTCATTGCTGCCTCTCTTCCCTCCATGGGGACGCTTCTGGACCTGAAAGAACCTCCCGAGGCAGAAAAGGCTCTATCGTAGGCACAGATCCTCTGATGGGGTGGTTGACCCACGGAAGGGCTGCTCTCATCAGCCACACTTTATGTAAGAATACTATATCACTATTTATAGAAGCTGTAGCACTTGAGGCCTGTGTGACTCACCCGAGGTCCCAAAGCTAGTAGTGGGAGTTGGGTTGGGAGTTGCACTCAAATCTATTTGACCCTCAGACCCACTATACTAACCACTGCACAGCAGTACTTCCCAGCCAGAGCCCTTTTCCTCCACTTCCCATAGGAGGATGAGATTTAATTCATTTAGTTCAGGCCACGTTGAGAAATGGAAACCTCAGTTTCTGGTGCCTATCATCTCTGGCTCCCTACTCATTTGTATATTCCAGTAATGAACAATTGGATTTAAGGAGGAACCAGGAGCCACGAACCTCTGTGATTCTAAGACTAGGCTCCTGAAAACCTTCAACAAATTGGGCATCTGAAGAATTTTATATGGAAAATTACAAAATATTATCCTAGACTGAGAACTTACTCTTTAAGAATATGTCTTAACCGCGTTCACATATGAATATCTCTGGTTCATGATTTGAAACATATATCATGAGCTAGAGAGATGTGTAGATGAGGTGAGAGGTGCTGCACACACAGAGAGACACATGTACACACACACACACACACACACACAATATTCTGCCCAGTTTTACATTGTCCTAGCCCACTTTCTAAGGGATGAGAAGGCTGTTTTGGGGCCCCAAGACAAGAGAAAATCTTTTGTTCTGTCTCTGAAAACCCTGAATAGAGTGTTAATCATTTGTTTCACATTTATCTCTAGAATCAGGGTTTTATATGGATTACTATGCACATTTTAGAAATGTGACTTCCCCTAAGAGAATTGAGTAGATCAGTCATTGCTCGTTAATGTGAATTACTTTAATCAGTGCAATGAGTAGCCCAGAACAGACTCCCGATTAATAACGTTTGAGCTTAAGAAGAGGGACTAGGAGACGGAAGGAGCAAAGCAGTGTTCATAATGTTTCAGGGACCACCTTCCACAACTGGACCTGTATCTGAGGCCTGGCCCTGTAATCTGAACACTCGCTGGATATAAAATAGTGTGCAAGACCCTCTGTGTTCACAAGTCCCACCCCCAGGAAGTCCAGAGAGTTTTCTCACAGCGTGCTGTGGGAAATATCCCAATTTTTTCTCCTAAGGAAAGGAATCTGAGGAACAGGGAGATGGAGCAGGAAGAAAGGAAACAAACATCTGAGAAAAATAAGTAAATATGAGAATAAATGTTATTTTAAAAAACAATGAAAAAGTTGTGAGGAAAGTACAAGGGGGCAAAGTCCAGCTTAGAAGAAACAAGCTACGACATGAACTATTTTAGGGAGAATAAACAGGTCAATCTTTAAAAGATTGCGTTAATAGACTCGCCGCCTAAAATAACTCACAGAAGAAAAAGAAAAGATATCAAGATACAAAGAAGTTTCACATGGAAAAAAATGCTTTGTATTTTCACCCAACAAAAACTTAGTTGTTTGGGTAAAACTTTGTTCTTTGAAGTCCCATAAATATCCCTTCAGGAAAAAAAATTAAATTTGAAGTACTTAGACTAATGAATGGTATCTTTATTCAAAGCAGATAACAAATCTAATTAGAGGAAGTTATGAACGAATTTTATTAGTAGTCTTATAATGGAATATACTTTATTCAGCACCTTGACCTCCATTCAATATCTTTAGCTTCTCAATTTTTTCTCTCTCCAGTGACTCATTTGACCTTTGTCCTCAATGATGACTAATTGCATCTCCTCCAAAATCTCCTTTTCCCCCTTCACAACCTTCTATCCTTCTCTGTTTGGCTTCTCTGGAACCCACCCTGTTTTTCGGTCTTTTCAAGAACTGTCAACTGTGTGTTCATCCATCTCATGTGTTTACTTCTTTCTTTATCCAGTTTTGATTACTGATCCATCATTCTGATCCTTCTTGCAAACACCCCTTCATTCTCCCTGTTTCTCTCATCTTATGTCCTACAGTGCTTGTCTGGTGAAACCCAGGCTCAGTTAAACCCAATCATGCAACTGGACTGGATTGCAGAAAAACACACAGCGCTGGTAAGTGGCTTTTCTTTATATTAGAGAGCACAAATTTCAGATGGATGCACACCCATGGCTGCCCAGCAATCCCACTCACTAAAAGGACTATTTTATAGTGTCTCTGTCTTCAAACCTCCCATCTCCACCCTCTGCTTTCTTCCCTTCAGTCTCAGGGGATGACCTGGATCAGACTTTGTTGAGAAAATAGAAGCAGTAGGATGAGAGCTCACTCATTTCCTACCAATCTATGCCCCATGCTCTTGGCCTCCCTTCCTGTTTCATTGTGTTCCTGCTTCTATCAAGGCCATGCTGCCACATGTGCCCTAGACTGCCGTTCCCACCAACCCCAGTCCCACACCCAAGCCTGTCCCCTCCATAGCCTTCTGCATTTCTGTAAATCATTACACTCTCAAGTCACTTGGGCCCCAAACTGGAAGTCAGATTTTCTATTAATAGTTCATTTATTCTTGTATCTAAACCATCTGCAAATCCTATAGGCATTACCTTTCAAAAAGAAAAAATCTGACCTCCTTTGCCACCCCACCAGGGCCAGACCAATATCTTCTCTCACCTGGATTGTTGCAAAGGCTGCTTATATTCATCGTGTTTCAGTTTAGCTACATATAGCTGGAAAAAAAACCCAAATTTAAAAACCAGTGGCTTAAACAGAAAAGAACTTTATTTCTCTCTCTCTTGCTCTCTGTCTTTTTTTTTCTTTTTGAGACAGAGTCTCCCTTTGTTGCCCAGGCTGGAGTGCAGCGGTGTGATCTCAGCTCACCGCAACCTCCTTCTCCTGGGTTCAAGCAATTCTCGTGCCTCAGCCTCCCAAGTAGCTGGGATTACAAGCGTGTACTACCAAGTCTGACTAATTTTTGTATTTTTAGTAGAGACGGGGTTTCATCAAGTTGGCCAGGCTGGTCTCGAACTCCTGACCTCAAATAATCCACCCACCTCGGCCTCCTAAAGTGCTGGGATTACAGGCATGAGCCACCGTGCCCGGGCCATTTCTCTCTCATATGAAACGAGTCCAGAAATAGGCAGTCCAGATTAGGTGTGGTATTTCTATGCTATCCTCAGGGACCCACCTGAGCGTTCTGTTCCACCATCCTCAGCATGTGGCTTCCATTTTAAAGGCCATCTTATGCAATGTAATCAGCATTTCAAAGAGGTATGAAATATTCATACCTCTTTGATATGTTCATTGCAGCATTGTGCACAATAGCCAAGATATGGAATCAACTGAAGTGTCCATCAATGGATGAATGGATAATACTATCCAGCCTCAAGAAGGAAATCCTGTCATTTGCAATAACGTAGGTTAATCTGGAGGATATTATGTTAAAGGAAATAAGCCAGACCCAGACAGACAAATACTACATGATCTCTCTTATAGGTGAAATCTAAAAAAGTCCATCTCATTGAAGCCGAGAGTAGAATTATAGTTAACAGGGTTTAAGGAGGGAAGGATAGGGATTGAGGAGATGTTGGTCAAAGGATACAAAATTTCAGCTAGGCAGCAGGAATAAATTCAAGAGTTCTATAAGGACTACAGTTAATAACATTGTATGAAAAGTGCTAAGAGAATAGATTTTGAGTGTTCTTACAACAAATAAATGATAAGAATGCAGAAGGGGAGAAAAACAAAACAAAACAGAAAGGGCTCCTTATGGTTGCAGATGGCTGCTAGAGTTCCAGCCATTATGTCTATGTTCCAGGTTGGCAGCAGAAGGAAGCAAAAGAGCAAAGAACTCCTCCCAATTGAGTAGGCTGTTTTTAAGTGGTGCTCCTAAGTGTGCTATGAATCTACTTTCTTACAGGTCATTGGCCAGAAATTAATCACAGGACTCTGTCTAATTGTAAGGGACAGGGGATAGAGTACTAGGAAATCTAGACTTCAGCTGGTTGCATTGCTGCCAAATAAGAATCAGGGTTCTTTTTTTTTTTTTAAGATGGAATCTTGCTCTGTCACCCAGGCTGGAGTGCAGTGGCACGATCTCCGCTCACTGCAAGCTCCGCCTCCTGAGTTCACGCCATTCTCCTGCCTCAGCCTCCCGAGTAGCTGGGACTACAGGCGCCCACCACTGCGCCTGGCTAATTTTTTGTATTTTTTAGTAGAGACGGGGTTTCACGGTGTTAGCCAGGATGGTCTTGATCTCCTGACCTTGTGATCTGCCCACCTCGGCCTCCCAAAGTGCTGGGATTACAGGCGTGAGCGACCGCACCTGGCAAGAATCAGGGTTCTGTTGCTAAAGAAGGAAAGGGCAGATGGCTACTATGTGGCAATCAGCAATTTCTGTTGTTCCTCCTGACTGGTCTGCCTGCGCCCAGCCTTTCACTCCATATTCCATTCTCCTCAGAGCAGCCTAAATAGCCATTGGTGCTCAAAACTTACCAGTGGCTTCCAATGCACTCAGAGTAAAAGGCAGCATCCTAGAGTAGCCTCTAAGGTCCTACTCAATCTGGCTGCATTGTTTCTCTGACCTCATCTCTTATCACTTTTCCTGCTCACCCATGCGTATCATCATTTGTCAGACAAGACAAACTTGCTCCTCTTTTAGGACCTTTGCATTCACGGTTCCCTCTGCCTAGAACATTCTTTTCCCACACTTCTGCATGACTTGACTTTTGACTTCCTTCCAGTTTTGCTCAATGTTGCCTTATCAAAGGAGTCTTCTGGGACTACTCTGTATGTAATGCATGTATGCACCTACATTCCTTATTCTCTTTACCTCTTTAGCTTTCTCCATGGAATATACCATAATCTGAAATGTTAGTATTTTGTATGTGTTGTGTATTTCTGCCCTCTAGAAAACAAGCATCTTGAAGGCCATGATTTTGTCTCATTTGTTTATTGTTTTATCCCCAACACCTAGCATAGTGCTCACAGGTAGTGATCACTCAAGAAATATTTGTTGAATAAAAAGATTAGTTTTTTTATAGGAAGGGTCTGATGTTTGGTGGGTCAAATCTCATTGATTCCGTGGTTGGCCAAGTGCGGATGAGACGTAGAGGTCATGGAAGGCAGGCCTTCATGCTGGGAGAACATTCAGATAATCATCAAAAGAATTGTTTCCAGTTGAAGATGTATTCACTGAAAGAAAGAGTGAATGAATGAATGAATGAGGCCCTCACCACCTCTGTGACCCCTAATTAGCAATGCAGCTACTCCCTGTGATTATGAACGCCTCATAGAATCATAAAAGAGATGTGAGTCCATTGGCTTTGCCTGGTGTTGCCATTCCCCTTGGCAGAGAGGCTGTTGCTCTTTAGGACTGCTGTTCATTTCAGGGATTGGGGCCATCAGTCTCTTGGAGAACCAAGCTGTCTGAGCTTTGACCTTGGAAAAGAAAGACAGAAAGAAAGAAACTGGAGAGTTGCTCTGGTTTGTGGGGCAGAAATGCACTGAAAACCATCTGGGAAGGTAGACTTGCCTTTGCCTGAACAGTCTCTCAAAAGCACATCTGACCAGAGTATATGATCTAGAGGCATATTTGGATGGGAGGACTACAAAAACTGCACTTAGTAGCCAATAAGCTATTGCTTATATTTAAACTCCTATGCAATGACACAACTTTTGAGAACTCAGCTTTTAACTTATGCTTAACAACAACTGTATTTCAAATCAAAAGTGAACTGCACAGCTGGTCCCTGAGACTGGCCAGTGTGACACTGTTAGCCACCTAAAGGCTCTCTTGGAAACAGTCTCAGTACTGTCTCTGTTTTTTATGAAGTATAATAGACCATTGGTGTAAGCAGAGGGAAAGGAAAAAAAAAGAAGTCAAATACTTACCAGTTGCTTTCATGTTATTCTCGGTTGCCTCTTACCCTGCCATGAGTAGAATCTATACAGTCGAATCTCTGACCTTGATTCCTCATTTCCAAGATCCTTGTCAATTTACAATGTTAAGCTAGCGCTCTTCTCATTTTAGAGGTCATTGTCTGGTGTTAATGCATAAAAACTGAAATCGATGTAGAAGTGATATCCTTTTTCCTTCCTTCCTAACAATGTCATTAGTCCTTGTTCAATGGGCACATTACGTATCTTCCTGTCCTCTTAGAAAAAAAATATTACTCAAGCTTTGCAAAGTACTTTAAAATAATTTTTTGAAGAACAGCCAAATACTAAACTATGAAGATAAGAGTCAACTCTCTAGTGAAGAATCTTAGTAGAGATTCTCAAGGTCATCTTAGTAGAAAATTTAAGAAAATACTACATCGTGAAGCATAATCTTTAAGCCCTGAAAATTACTAACCTTCTGACCTAGAGTCAATTACTTAATCTCTTTGTGCTTTCGTTTTCTCTTCTGTCAAGAATGGATTATAAAGCCCATACTGCTGGGTTCACAGGGCTCTGCTGTGGTTCAGGAGTGTGCTTACCTGCCTGGGAAACTACATCACCAGCTAGCTGCTTTTCTCTATGGTACTTGCTGTGAAGTGGTCCAAGACGTTATGTCACCCAGAGAAATTGGACTGCGGAATGATGGTACTGCAAACTCTTATGTAAAGAGCAGGCTGCTCATGGTGGCTCATGCCTGGAATCCCAGCACTGTGGGAGGTGGAGGTGGGTGGATCACCTGAGGTCAGGAGTTTGAGATCAGCCTGGCCAACATGGTGAAATCCTGTGTCTACTAAAAATACAAAAATTAGCTGGGCGTGATGGCGGGCACCTGTAATCCCAGCTACTTGGGAGGCTGAGGCAGAAGAATAGCTTGAACCCAGGAGGTGAAGGTTGCAGTGAACCAAGATCGCACCACTGCAGTCCAGCCTGGGTGACAGAGCGAGACTGGTGTCTAAATAAAAAAATAAATAAAAGAGCAGGCAATTTGAAGCATGGGAGAAGCATGGGTCTTGATCCAGAACTTATATGGGGACAAATGTGATTTGGGGCAAGTAGCCTGAGTAGACTCTGAGCCTCATTGTCATTACCTGGGAGATACAGTAAAGCACATAGCATCCTGTGATGGGATTAAATATAATTTAAGTGTGGGTACGTGTAAGTCAGAATACATGTAAGTCCGATTATTTTTAAAGATAAGAAAACTAGAATCTAAATAAATTACATAATCTGCACAAATTTGCATTATTTGTGACTGACATCACCAGAACTCAAATACAGATCTTGCAAGTCCGTCTCTAAACCTTTTTTTTTTTTTTTTTGAGATGGAGTCTCACTTTGTCACTCAGGCTGGAGTGCAGTGGCGTGATCTTGGCTCACTGCAACCTCCATCTCCTGGGTTCAAGTGATTCTCCTGCCTCAGCTTCCTTAGTAGCTGGGATTACAGACACCTGCCACCTTGCCCGGCAATTTTTGTTTGTTTGTTTTTGTTTTTTTGTATTTTTAGTAGAGACAGGGTTTCGCCATGTTGGCCAGACTGGTCTCAAATTCCTGACCTCAGTGATCCACCCACCTCAGCCTCCCAAAGTGTTGAGATTACAGATATGAGGTACCGTGCCTGGTCTCTAATACTTTTTCCACAATAAAGTGGATTTTATTTGGGCCACTGACCCCCTGTGAGTATCCAACAAACTTATGACCCTACTTCCCAGAGAAATGAATGTATCTTCTGCATATAATTTCAGCATATCCATGGACCCCTAGAAGGTCCATGGACTTAGATTAAGAACCTGAGCACTACAAGCTGTGGTCTCTCCCGAATATGCCTGAGTGCATTTACTAAAGGAGAATATAATTTTGTGTCCTTATATAGAAGAGAAAAGCAGATTTTATGGTACTAAGGCAGTTTGGAAAAAGTCTTTAAAAGACGTTGGAAATATAGAATTTTTCTTCACGCTGTCATGTTCTTTAGAATACTCCTGGGATGCTAAAGAGGTTCCAGAATTGGAACTGTATTCAGACATTCATTCAGCAGATCCTTACTGAGGGCCCAACGTGTGCCTGGCCCTGGATTGCAGTAGGGCCCAAGACAAGCCCTGCTCCCATGAAATTCACATCCACTGTGAGGGGATACGGACAGCGAATAAACACATATATTTTGCTAGGTAATGTTACCTGTTATTGAGAGAATAAGACAGGGTGATGCGACTAAGAGTTGTGGGTTGAAAGGGCGAGTCTACCGCAGACTGCGTGGACAGAGACAACTTCTCTAAGGAGTTGACCTTTGCAGTGTGACCTAAAGGATGAGAAGGAGCTTCCTGGGGAAGATCTGGGGTACAAGCATTTCATGCAGAGAAAACATCCATTTAAGGTCTTTCTGCCTCATATCTTCCCTAAAATGGAAATAGACTTGGTATGTGCCGCTGTGATGGGAGTGGGTCATTGAGAAAGCAGGTGACATGAGATGAGGCTGGAGAGGTGGATGGTGCCAGTCCCTGTAGGGCTTTGTAGACCAGGGTAGAGAGTTTGAGTTTTATTCAAGGTGAGATGGGAAAGGGTTCAATGATCAACATGAACCGATTTATGTTTTTAATTCATCACTTAGGGCGCTGTGTAAGGTTGGCTTGTTGGCAGTGAAAGTGGCAGCAGGAAGATGAGTCATCCAGTAAAATGGTGAGGCTGGCTGGGCTCAGGCTGGTAATGGGGAAGACAGAAAAAAGTTAACAAACTCAGGATATGTTTCTTTGGAGGTTTAGGGTATAAACTTGTCAATGAACTGGATGAGGGGAAGTGAGAGAAGAACTAAGCTAAGAATGATACCTAAGGTTTTTGTCTGAGCACCTGGAATGATGCTGAAACTATTTCTCTGTTTCTTGAAATGCAGAAAACTGAAGCAGGAGCAGGCTTGGGAGAGGGGCATGGGTAGCCCAAGCAACCAAGAGTTATGATCAGCTATGTTAATTATGCGACTGGATATATGAATTTGGAGCTCCAGGGAAAGATCATGGCTAAAGACATAAATTCAGAAATTATTTCTATCAATGTGGTATATAAAATCACATAATTAAATAAAATTACCTAGAGAAGCATGTAGATGGAAGGAATAAAAGATGGCACAGGACGAAGCCTTCAGGAAGTCCAACATGCAGAGTTCAAACAGAATAAGTTCACCCAGCAAAAGAGATTGAGTGAGTAGTCAGAGGGGCCAGAGGAAAACCAGGAGAGTGTGGTGGTGTCACTGAAGCCAAAAGAACAAAAGTATTCTATGAAGGAGAGAATGATCCTCTGTAACAAATGCTCGTAAGATGTGGCAGATACTCCTGCTTGTTCTCTGTACCCATTTTCTCCATTTTTCTTTTAGTAATAGAAACCACTGAGCTCTAGCTGGACACAAAGCCACTTACATGGAGACCACATTCCCCAGTCTCTTTTGCAGCTAGATGTGGCCATGAGGCTGAACTTGAGTCAGCGGAGTGTGAGAAAAAGAAGCTTATGCAATGTGCTATACTTGGCCTTACAGTATTGGGTGTGCATGCCCCCTTTCTCTTTTCCTGGTTTTCCATTGGCTGGAATGTGGACATGGAAGGGGCTCAGCTTCCGTCATGCACATGAGGACAGTACTCCAAGGAATATCAGAGAAACTGGTGAAAGGAACCTAGGAACCTGAATGCTCTTAAGAAGCGAGCCATCTGTCTGCTGTGGATTGCCTACTGCCATTTGGACTCCCTTGTGAAAAAAATAAATTCTCTCTACAATCACTGTATTTTGGGGTCTCTATTTTAACCTCATAGCCCACACCATAAATAATTCACATAACAAGAAAGATGACAGATACTTTGGGAGGCCAAGGTGAGCAGATCACCTGAGGTCAGGAGTTGGAGACCAGCCTGGGCAATATGGCAAAATCCCGTCTCTACTAAAAATATAAAAATTAGCCAGGCATGGTGGCGGATGCCTGCAGTCCCAGCTACTTGTGAGGCTGAGGCAGGAGAATCACTTGAACCCAGCAGGCGGAGGTTGCAGTGAGCCAAGATGGCACCATTGCACTCTGGCCTGGGTGACAGAGCAAGACTCTGTCTCAAAAAAAAAAAAAGAAAGAAAAAAGAAGAAAGAAAGATGACAGAGGAAACACCCTGGAGCTGATTGGTGAGTTTGACAATTTCAGAAGTATGACTGGGATAGGAGTAGACTGAAGAGCTAATCCATTCATTCACTCTTTCACTCATTCCACATATGTGTTGAGTTTTCACTCTGTGTCATGCACCATCCTAGGCCGTGAGATATAGCAGAAAACAACAGAGATAATGCCCTTGTTCACAAGGCACATGTGTTCTAGTGGAGGAGACAAAAAGTAAACACATAAACAGATAACACATAAACAGGTCAATGTGAAGGCCAGGTAGTGGCCAGGTGAAGGCCAGGTAGTGACCTGTGCTAAGAAGAAAATAAAGCTGAGAGCATGGAAAGGAAGTGCTACTTTAGAAACAATGCTCAGGGGAGGAATTTCAGAGAAGGATACTTTTGAGATAAATTGAATAAATAGAAATTAAAGGGAAAGCTATATGGAAATCCTGAGGAAGAGTACACCAGGCAGAGAGAGCAGAAATTGCAGAGTCCCCGAGGCAGGAATTCACTTGCTTAAGGAATAGAAATAAATCGGATGTGCTATAGAGCACAGCACTTGAGGTGATCAAAGTGCGTGAGGAAGATTAAATTGGAGAGAAGAAAAGATGCCAGATCATCAGAATCTTTGAAAACTAGGAAAAGAGGTTTCAATTTTTTGTAGATGTGATGGGAAGCCATTTAAGTCATCATAGGGGGTTTAACCAGATTTTGCATTTTAAAATACTGATCCTGCTGCTATTTAAAGAACTGAACGTGAGGGTAAGGGTGAAATCAGTTGGTTGATTTAAGTTATCTAGGCCAGAGATGATGGTGGTTTGGGCTTCGATAACAGCTGTGAAGGTAGTGAGAAGTAGTCTGATTTGGGAGAGGATGTGTGTACGTGTGTGTGTATTGGAGATGGCTATAGAATGGCTACAGAAACGTCTTTTGAGGTGATCTACTATGTAGGGGTACAGAGAAATGAGCAGCAGCTGGGAAACTTATAGGGATTTAGGAAGTCTCTCTCTCTCTCTCTCTCTCTCTCTCACTCTCTGTCTCTCTCTCTGTCTCTGTCTCCTTTTTCCCCCTCCCTCCTTTAAAGACAGGAAATACCAGATTTAATGTGGTAATTGGGATGATCCAGTAGAAAGGGATGGGTTTGTGATGCCAGAAAGACAGGTGAAATTTACAGGAAAAGTATGAAGCCAGAATTAAGTAGAGGGTTTAGTCTTTAATCCAAGCAAAGACACTTCATTCATCAAAGAAGGCAAGATGTACCGGAAAATTTATTGGTGAGAAAAGAAAGTTTCGTGTGGTGGCATCCATTGTATCAATGAAATGTGCAGCAACTGAGAGTGAAGATTTGGGCAAGAAGAGAGGTAGGAGATTTGAATAAAGAGAACCCACAGTGGCATGATTATTTCAGAGTGAGAGACATACAACAAAAGTGCATAGGATTGCTGAACAGTTTGAGCTCATTTAAACTTGGTCATTCTGAATTTCAAGTGAGTCAAATCAGCACCAGTGTTGTGTTTTCTGGTGGCTCAGTTTGGTGACTTGTGTGTATGTGCTAAGTAGGTATTTAGTTGTGCTTAGACATGGCTGAAGTTTTACTAGGGAAATGGAGAACATGCCAACAGTGTTAGGGATGCTTGCAAAACAGCAGTGTGATGTTGGTCCCTGATATGGTTTGGCTGTGTCCCCACCCAAATCTCATCTTGAATTGCATCTTCCACAAGTCCCACAGGTTGTGGGAGGGACCCAGTGGGAGGTAATTGAATCATGGGGGATGGTCTTTCCTATGCTATTCTTATGATAGTGGATAAGTCTCATGCGATCTGATGGTTTTATAAGGGGGAGTTTCTCTGTACAAGCTCTCTCTTTGCCTGCTGCCATCTATGTAAGTTGTGACTTGCTCCTCCTTCCCTTCTGCCATTATTGTGAGGTCTCCCCAGCCATGTGGAACTGTAAGTCCATTAAACCTCTTTCTTTTGTAAATTGCCCAGTCTCGGGTATGTCTTTATCAGCAGCGTGAAAACGAACTCCTACAGTCCCTGAAATCTAAACTGAATAAGAAAAGAAATAAGGAAATAGGGGAACAATAATCTAGATTTTATAGGCTTGAAAGTAGTACAATTGAGGGGAAGCCCTATTAAAGATGAGAAGACAAAATTGTGAATACAGAATTAGGTATGAGACAATATTGACTTAGAATGACAAAATTAATTGTAATAAATTATGAATTTATAATGTTGATATATATCCACATAACAAATCCAGAAAATGTACATGATATTTTTATTAACTGCTTGAAATGCTTTTATTATATATTTTTCTTATATAATATACATATAAAAGATGATATAAGGTGGTCAAAGAGTGTACAACCAACCCATTATTATACTATTATATTATGTGTTGGTTGTACACCCTTTGATCTACCCCTTCACATGACAACAATTTTGTAATAATGTTTTAAATTCTGGAAATAGATAATTCAGTCCTTCCTCTAGCATGGGGAATGGAAACGGAAAAAATGTTTAACTCTAGATATCTGGGATGCAAAAATCATGTGGTTTCAATTTCACACACACGTGCTTTTTTTTTTTTTTTTTTTTTTTTTTTTTTTGGAGATGGAGTTTTGCCCTTGTTGCGCAGGCTGGAGTACAATGGTGTTATCTCGGCTCACTGCAACCTCCACCTCACGGGTCCAGGTGATTCTCCTGCCTCAGCCTCTTGGTAGTTGAGATTACAGGCACCTCCTGCCATGCCCAGCTAATTTTTTTTTTTCTTTTTAGTAGAGATGTGGTTTCACCATGTTGGCCAGGCTGATCTCGATCTCCTAGCTTTTTGTAGTGTAGCTATAGGTTTCTGCTGTCCTACTGTAGGAATTTTGATCAATTCTATTTTACATGATTACCATTATAAAAGAAAAAAATCCACAGGGTGATTTTATGTACATTACATCCTTGAGAATATTTGTTTTACAAAGGCTTCGCTGAAGCAATTGCACATGATTGGCTTCCCTACATTTTTAACCTTGTTTCTTCTCCACTACCTGTTGCTGGCAGAGGCTTGTTGGTAGCAAAGGCCACGTGGCACAAGGTCTTGTGAGCCTTAAGTCTGCCAGCTGTGCAACTTTGTATCACTATATGAGAGAAGTGGAGCCAGTGTGCAAGCAGCAGGAGGAATCCTGCAGCCATTACAACTCTGGCGATTACATGACTCTACTCACAGGTGTTGTGAACCCTATATCCCCACTAAGCCTAATATAAATGCATTCCCAACTAAACTTTCCCTTAGTGGCATCCCTACAATACCCACAGCCCCTCCAACACCACCTTCCTGCAGGGGAGGTGTGATAGGAGGGATGGCAGAGTGGGAAGGGACATCACTCTTCATCATCACTGTTAAATATCTAAAAGCATCTATTGAAGTGTCTCAGTCTATGTCCTTTGCCCATTTTTTCTCTTTAAGTAGGATTGTCTTTCCTCTTTTGATTTTTAATCGTTACGAATTTTAAAACATTTGCTTGGTCTGTATCAAGACATGTAGAATGGTCTAAAAGTCACTCTGAGAATGTACTTGCCACAAAAAAAATCTGACCAGGTGAATACAGTTCATCCTTGAACAACACAGGTTTGAACTCTGCAGATTTTATATGCAGATTTTCTTCCACCTCTGCCACCCCTTGAGAGAGCAAGATCAACCCCTCTTCTTCCTCCTCCTCTTCAGCCTACTCAACATGAAGATGATAAGGATGAAGACCTTTATGAAGATCCGCTTCCACTTAATGAACAGTAAACAGATTTTCTTTTCCTTATGATTTTCTTCATGTATTAGTCCATTTTCACGCTGCTGATAAAGACATACCAGAGACTGGGCAATTTACAAATGAAAAAAGTTAAATTGGAATTACAGTCCCATATGTGAGGCTGGGGAAGCCTCACAATCATGGCAGAAGGCAAGGAGGAGCAAGTGCAGACAAACTCTTATTTTTTAAAACCATCAGATATCGTGAGATCCATTCAGTATCACAAGAACAGCATGGGAAAGACCTGCCCCCATGATTCAATCATCTCCCACCAGGTCCCTCCCACAACACGTGGGAATTATGGGAGCTACAAGATGAGATTTGGGTGGGGACACAGAGCCAAACCACATCACTTAATAACATTTTCTTTTCTCTGGCTTATTTTATTGCAAGAATACAGTTTATAACACATATACAAAATACATGTTCATCTACTGCTTAGGCTATTGGTAATGCTTCCAGGCAATAATAGGCTATTAGTAGTTAAGTTTTGGGGGACTCAAAAGTTATGGTGCATTTTCGGCTGTGCAGGGGGTTGGCACCCCCTAACCACTACATTCTTAAAGTGTCAACTATACTTAGCTGGAGCCCCTTCCAGGCCTTGCACTGGCCTGTGCTGGGGAGGGGCCCTAAAACTTAGGCTTTGGTGGCTTGATAATAAGTCTGGCTGGGACCAAAAGACCAGAGGTACAGCTGAATGTGAAAAGGTTACTTTCCTTGCCGAGAAATCCAGGCCCTCCACAGCTTCCCTGGGTCCCCAGTTGTGCCTCACCACCTTCCCTTTTACTTCCCCAGCCCCATATCACTTCCTCTCAGATACACATGGTGCATCATGGAGGGGAGATGATGCATAGGGATTGGCTAGAAAGCATAAATCCTCACCTTTTGGCTCACAATTGGGTCAG